CAGTTTTATTAGTAAGAGTGACAAATCACTGCAGCAGCTTTTTAGCATCTGTTCATGTCATTTTTATTCATTAAGCAGAATCTTCTTCCCTCAGTTTTGTCTGCAGGTGACTGTATCAGTCATATGACTCTCATTTTTACACATTATACAGTTGCTACTAATCTATAGCAACAACTTGAAGAGATTTAGATTCTTCCCTTCTAACCCTTCATCCTTGTGTGAAAGGATTCTCTACAGCTCCATCTTCTTTTCTGAATAGCCTTTACACAGTGTTAGTAACAGAGGGAGCAGAGATGAAACAGCTTTGCAAACATCACGGTGACTTCAAAGTTTCTTTTTTGAAAGGAGGAGGGTGGTTTTCTGAGCTTTAAAGTTTGCTGGTGTTTCACTTGCCTAGTGGAGTTTTAAACCTCATCTTTATTTATGGCTAATCAGAAGGGTAATGTTTTGTTTTTTTATACAAGAAACACTATTGCAAATGTATACAAATGTATGTCTTGGAAGATCTATTTAAATTATGAGACTCTATTAACATTTTTTATTCAGGRTTTTCATTTAATCCAATATTTTTATTAGTTTAAATGTCATAAATACAAGGAAAACCTGATTTTCATACATTTAGACTGAGACAAAAATGCTGAAGTGAAAAATACTTTAAGGATTTATTCAGTACAGTAAAAAAAGAAGAAAATCTTATTAAWTTTTTTCACACAGTTGCATCAGTGAATGGAGGTGCATTACTAGACAGCAGCAGAAATTAATGTTGTGTGTAAAAGTGAGGCTACAGGAGAGTGAGTAAAGTTTTATCCAGATTTAAGATAGAGTGAGGAAAACTTCTGAAAAACAAAATTTTTTATTTTTGTTTGGCTATCGTAGAATAATTAAAACTTCTTTGCTTGTCTGACTTCACAGGCAAACAGAAATCAAAGAAAAGTAAATAAACTACATGGATGTTTTAAATAAGCAACAACAAAAAATTCTTGCAGGACAGAAACAATGATGAAAAAATGCATGTTTAAAAGAAGTTGAAAAAATTTAATTAAGGCTGAAAATTGGCTTGAAAGGGACAGAAAAGAGAAGAAAGCAGGAGACCTATTAATACAAGCATAATTTATTTCACTCTGGCTTGTGAGTTCTGATAATGGCTGTTACTGAATATCAGTTATTGCTCATCTTTTACACATCTTTAATCTTGCCTCAGCCCCCTGCCCCTGTGCATAAATTTTAATTTCTAAGCTCAAATTATTTGTTACCTCCTGTGTYACTGTTTTCAAGCTCTGTGATCAGMTTTCACACTCAAACCACTAAAATTGTGTTTACACTGGGTCCTGAGCTTCTCATTACCAACAAAACGCTTTCTTACAAAAAGATTTAGCTATTTCTGATGCATAATGCAAGAGGATAAAACTGTCTTAACTTGCAAAATACAAGTTAAACAACAACATTAGAAGAAAAGCTAAGCTAAAACATCCATCTGKTGCGCACCATCCTGCTGTGCTTTAAAGCGTGTTCATGTTTTTACAAGATAGAGCCTAAATGACAGATCTGAAGCCAGCATGATGTTCAGACAGAGGGGCAATCGGACAAAATGGTTTTGTAAAAGTAGTGAACAAGCATCCAGGATCTTTATCTCTTTGTATCAGCGGTCCAACAKGGAGCAGTTAGTCATGCTTCTGAACCACCGCTCCTGCTCTGAGAGTCATTACTCTGCTGTGAAGCTGTCACATGGAGACTCCCTCGATTTATCAGCCTGGGAGCTGATCTGTGATCTTTCAGCAAACACACCAGTGTACAACTTTAACAGAGTGTGAGTTTAGCTGCAAAACTGAGCTCARTCAGCTGCATCAGGTTAGTTAGTGAGTGTAGTAAGGTACAGTTTGACTAACCTTCACTCACTATTATGGGTCATAGTTGTGGGTATATGTGCTTTGATGTGACTCTAAACATCCATATGATYAAATTCAGAATATAAGTGTGACCCATCACTTCCATTCAAGGATTAAGTGTAGTGAGAAAATAGGCAGTTGTGTTGCTTTGGTTGATTTTTTTTTTTTTTCAAAATATCTAAGAAAAAAAAGCTTCTTTGATCGCTAGCTGGTAATCCTGATATTCAAATATGGTTTGAGTTTTCTGCTTTCATATGAAGTCAAGAAATCCTCATTAGAAAACACTAAAATAGCTTTCAGACTGACTTYCCTGGGGTCATCCCAGCTAATAAGACAATCAGGCCAGATCTTTAGCACCACCATTGACACCAGGAAGATCTAAAATATTGCTTAAAAATTCAGGAATTTAAAAATGTGCTTAKTTTATTTTGCCTAAGTTATTATATAATTATAATATTATATAGTTTGTACAGAATACTCATACATTTTCCAATGGTTTTATTGCTGCTCTGCTAACATTTTGTGGGTTTAAAGCAGCTGTAAAATTTTGCACACAGATTTGTTTCTATACCAGATTTACAAAACTCACTTATATCAAAATATTATTAGAATTTAAACATATTCACCATGAATGAAAACTGATTTTGTTGATTTAGTTCCTGTTGGGAACTCTCAGTGAGTGTTGCTGTCAGATTCASTTCCTCAAAGTTTGATTGACTCTTTTTATCTCAGTCCTCTTTGAGCTTGTTCTTCAAAYATTTTGTGTGCTACACTGACTTTATGGGGAGTGTGTTTGTTCTATAAAATACATTTTAGGTGTTGCTGTTTGAAAACCAAACTTTACCTAAATAATTTCTGTTTCAAGTAGCATCATGTGAATATCTCAGATCTATAACAAAGGGATCCGTTAGGACATCAAATCAGTGCCCACCATGTTCAAGCAAAAAGATGGCAAGGATTTATCACATTTTTTWGTTAAAAATGTCAATTTTTTTGTTTATGCACACACCTGTAAATACATTTTCTTTTATTTATCTGAATTACAACTAGCTTCCCAGATTTCAAACTAACCTCAATYTGTGTTCTCCTGTTAACAGTCTCAGAAGGCTCCATAAACCTTAGCTGAATGTCCCTCAGTGCTGACTGCAACAATGTCTTTATTCATATTTAAATGGGAAGGATTGCACACTGGAAGTATTCATTTCTCATGGAGCAGCTTTGGTGCTTTGCAGCTTTTAAAAATAAACACAATACAAAGTGTTACCCATAGATTGTTCCTTCGTAGCCACAACTAACCAGCCTCACATTATTGAATTCAGTCTTCTGCCTCTCTAGGGGTCCCAACCCCTCTCAAAAAAATACGATATATATAGTGGACCAGCTCTGAGCCCTCGGGTCAAAATGCTCCATCTGAGCAGAACCTGCTGTAACAAGTGTACAACACTTTTTAGGACCCAAAACACACAAAGAAAAATACGATTCTTAAGCTTAGCAGGTGCACGCTTGTCTTTTTTTTTATCTGCAGAGGAAACTAAAAGGTTTTATTGTTGAAAACAACTTTAARAGAACAGTGGTCTCAGAAGCAGGTGTTAGAATTTAAGCTTTGTACTTTTCTTTATCTCCAGAATACTTAGTGATGCTTTTTGATCATGTGGGGATGAGGTTTGAGCAGACTGACAGATGTAATCCTTTAGTCCTACATGATGTGTAAACCCTTTGCGTTGAAGGTGGGTGCCCTCAGATGCTCTTCAAGCTCCGCCCCTCCCTTATTTCTGTAGCCTTCTTCTACTCAATACTTTATTTACGCCTCAGTTTTCATTTATGATATTTTTTCGTCGACTTGGCTTTTTTTTTTTTCTTTTTTCGGCACTGCAGCTGTCTGCCACCAAATCTCCTTGCCTGTAATTACGTGTCTGCATGAGAACTCGTTCTGCTTCTCTAGAGGAGGAGGGAATGATAGCTCTCTTATGGCTCCCCACTGGATTAATTAAAGGTGAAGCTGTAGGATGCCCAAGTCAAGAATATTAGTCCTGTTTTAGAGGATCCAACTTCTTTCCTCTCCACTCTGTTTAGCTTTACTCRTGTGGCTTGTGTTACTTTGTTAGAGGTGGCTTCAGTCTTCTGTTTGTTCCTGTGTTGTCACATAATGTCTGAGTGTTTTTATGCAGTGTTTTTTCTTAGTAACATTTAATGTTTCAACTTTTAAACCCTAAAGTAAGAAGTCTAGTATTTTCCTGAAATTATTTTTTCATTTCTACTTACAAGATTTAAACAACAGGCTGAAGAGAAAAAAAGCAAACAGTTTATTAAAGCATACAGGCTGATTGCAGGATTGTCTGGTGGATTATATTCATCCACTGGTCATGTTCTTTTTGATGTGTGAGGTGCTGAAGCATCATCTTTATCTCCTGATGGTCTGTGATGCATAAAATGATTGTGTGGACATTAGAGGCTGATTATTGTATGAAAACCAGACACAGGCGCAGTATCTCAGTGCACGTGTCCAGCATCTTAAGTGGCGTTTATTGCTTTAGGAAACAGCTCTCCTCCTGTCACTATATGATCAATATGTATCAAAAGTAGGAAACATATCAATTTCCTTCCTAACTCTTAAATAAAACACAAGAATTGTGTTTGAAAAACAGGAAAAACTATTAAATCCCATCACAGATTAAATTTCCTGTGTAACTGGATTCATTTTGTTTGATGTAACTCAAATACTAACGGCTTTTCAAAACCTTTTCATCTTTCTAAATTTAGTGTATTTGTCTTTCACTTGTTGATGAGTACAACATATCAGATGTGCCTCGTATTAAATTAATGGCTGTAATTAGGTTGGCATGGCAACACAAGATGAAAACCTGTTTGATTCTAACAGAGCAAACAAAGCAAACTCGTTGATTTCTCTGCTTCTCAGGCTGTTACAGTTGTCGGTTTATTTTGTCCAATAATAAAAATATTCATTAGAAGTGGCTAAATTGAGGAAAGCAAGCTGCTGCTGTTTGTGGCTTTATTTTCAATGCATAACAGTGATTGTATTGTCATTATTTATGTGTAAACCATTGTTAATATCAGTGTGAATAAAATGCATCCTGCATGTTTTCTGTTTTACAGGGCAGCAACGTGGTGGAGGACCAGGACCTGCTGGAAATTGGAATTCTCAACTCGGCTCACAGACAACGTTTGCTGCAGGCCATCCGGCTGCTGCCGCGGGTCAGTAATACACATAGTTAATACTTAATCACATTAGGTTTATTGTGTTTTTTAATCATTCCCAGTTCAAAAGATACAGCTTTGTGTAAGAATAAATTAGACTTAAGAGCTGACTTTCACTTTGAGCTGAGCTCAATCTGTTTTAATGTAAAATTTAGCAAAGCTTGTGACTCGTTGCTTTTTCTGTGCTTTAAATCTCTGTGGATGGTTTTATTTCTCTGCATGTTTGAATTCTTTACATGCCAAGAGGAAGGAAGGGTATTCAAGGATAGATTTAATAAACTAGTTATGAGCACTTTAAAAAGTGCAAGATTACTGAGAACTGATAAATACTCTGAACCTAACTTTGCTGCTTTAAATAAAAAATGTTTTGCCAGAAGTTCTGTTCCAAGTAAATCCCAGCCGTATGCTTCTGTTTGTACGCAAGGAAGTAATAAGTCATTTTGAGGAGGAGKAGCAGAAAAGTGAGTTTGCTTTAAAAAATGGAATTCAAAGATATACTTAAAAATTTGGTCAGCATTTTTTTTACTTCTCACACCCACTAAACTTTTCAAAACAGTGCAGAAGAAGAGGGAGGAGAGAAAACCTTTTATCTACCATCTATCGCTCTCTCACACACACACAGACACACACACACACACACACCTGCACAGACATGTAGTCAAACACATTCTGAATGCAAGGTGGAGGTTGTCTGGAGTTTGTTTGAAGCCTCACCAACTCTAAAGCCGTTTGTCAAAATAAAGTGAATGAATTATTAACTATTTTCTGCTCCACTCCATGTATTCAGTCTGAGCTGGAACCATCTGCTGCTTCCATCTTAGTCAGAACTGCACTCAAACTGCAGCTTGTTAACTTGTTTATGTTGTAAAAAAAAGTACATAAAAACTCAAAAATAATCCTCATTGGGCTTTTTTTTATTTCTTGTAAATTTGTAGAAACTCAAACGTACCGTTGAATATGTTTCTCTTAATATAATCAAAGTTTATTTACTGTCATGTTGAACATACTTTTTCCTCTTAAATCTGATTTCTTTCTCATGTTTCTACACAAGGTGCGACCTATTGGTTATGACGGCAACAACCCCACATCGGTGGCGGAGTGGCTGGAGTCTTTGGAGCTTGGCGACTACACAAAGTCTTTTCTCATTAATGGTTACACCTCCATGGAGCTGGTCAAAAAGATATGGGAGATTGAGCTGATAAATGTAAGTGTCAAAGCTTTAATCATTTTTATCAGACTTTTTTTTTAAATAAAGCAAGTGTCAAACTTGAGAATTTGCATTTTCCGCAAAAATGCAGCGTAATGCTTGATGCTGGAAGATTAATTTGTAATTTGTTGTAAAATAGCCAAAAAAAAAGTAGCTAAAAAGTAGCTGAAAAAGCCAAATCTAGCAC